GTTTTTGTGTAGGTCTGGACCTACCAAAAGGGATTGATTTGAGAATGTGCCACGACACTTAGCAGCCCCGTTAAAAACTTGGCGCACCGTACCCGGCTCATTCGGATTAATCACTGGGTGGTGCGATCGGTAGGTGAACACGGATCATGCGGCTCGACGGTAACGATATAACCTTTCTTTATGTACTCCGGTACCTGCGTATTTTTCGCACAGCTCTTTACTTCAGCTTCTCTCCAAAATTTTGAATTGAGTAAGTTATGAGTAATTTTTATTAAGTAGACTGACATTGTTATCAGGAAGAACGGGCATCGACTTGTTTAAAGGCTGGATTAGATTCCAAATGAAATCAGGGCTTTATCTGGTCTGTTAAGGCAGAATAATCAACAACACACTTAAGGCACGAAGAAGTTAATCCGGCGGGTAGCGGTAACGGATCACTAATGACTCAACTTATCGGTAGGTGGAAGGATCATGTTGAGTGAGAATTTTGAGAGGAACTCAATCGGACGAACGGTGTTGTAGTAATTCTGTCTTATGATTACTTCTATATAATCTTATTTGTACTGCAAGGGCTCAGGTATATTCTTTATTCTTACGTTCTTTACCAATGTGAATGTTGTCTTTCACATAAGATTGCATAGTGAAAGATAATTGCGTGTTATTCAGTTCAAACGAGAGATTGAATTTGACTAGCTGAGTTTTGATGACCTTGACGGCATTGAAATGATTGGTAGACAGCTAAACTAGATCAACATCCAACTTTAAGCTGCTAGCGAGAGGTGCGGATACCCAAAAAAATCTGTAGATGCTCCGTCGCAAAAAACCGACGTCTAGACACTGGTGCTATCCGAGGATACTCCAACTGTTGCACTTGGCAACATTCCTTCCAGTAACTCTCCGTGATTTTCCCTGCTTACAGCAACATGAGTAAAAATATGTGTAACATCTTTCGGCTTAGACTCATGGGGTTTACTTGATGTTTTTTCCTTGATGGGAAAATTCTTGCAGAAAAATGAAGAAAGACATTGTGCATGCTCTCACAGTCCTGTTTTTGACGTTTCTTTGCCTTGGTGCAATTACGGAAGCTAGGCAGCTATGGTTCCCATTGAGGCAGTCGAAGCAAAATTTTTGCTCAGCTACAAATTTAGCTCAACGAGTGGCATTCTGTTCCTTGAACGCAGCGCAAGACCAAATGGCATGCCTTTTTTACACAGCAGGAATAGTGGGTATTTAGGCTGGCTTTTGTAATCGCTAGGGTTTTGGCGTTTGATGCAAACACGTTTGTTATTTTTGATTTAACCGGTCTTCCGTTTTAGCTCTAGAACCAATAGCGCTTAACCATTCGTGGCCCTCCAATTTCTCTTTTAACCACTTTTTAAATCAAAGAGGCTGGGACGCAGTCAATTGGGCCTAACAGTATGCATTGACCAAGCTTCTTTTAAGTGTGGTGGGAGCTTGCCAACAGGTTGGCTTATAAGAGTCTCGCTTTTCAGATCATCTTGAAAGGAAAACGATTGAAAGACTGCATTCAGTCCTGAAAAGGTGGAGGAGAAACTGATGACATTCTCTATGCACATTGAGGGGAGGAGAATTGGCTAACTTATCCAAATGAGCCCCAACAATAGTAGGAGCCTTGGCAAACTCTCTGCAATGAAGCAATTGCACTTCGCAGTCTAGCAATTGCTCAACCGGATCTTCATAAGACGAAAAAAAAGAAGGTTAGAAAAACCATGGTAAGCAGCGTTTGTCATTTGGAGATCAGCTTGCGGAATGTAATACACGGTACCACCACTGGTATACGGCAAGATCCCGCTTGAATTACGAGCAATCGGAGCGGCCAAAAAAACACATTCGCATTGGCCTTCTGATGGGTTGTCATCGCAGGTGTTCGCGTGGTCAAACCACACATGTAAGCTATTCGCAGCAAAGACAGGTGCAAAAAAAAGCTACTGCATTTGATAATTATGTGGGTGAGCAAACGAGAAATGATGAGACCTGAGGCACAGAAGGCGCGACAGTTTGCGGAACTGTGTGCATTAATACAAAACGACTCATCAGAACCTGAAAACTTGTGTTACCAACATCTGATCCCGAGTTCGGACGGAAACCAGTTTGAGGAATAGTGAGAGGTGGTTGATAATTAACAACGACATGAGGTGCTAGACAAAAAGGAACCGTAACAGAAGCGTCATTAGTATTTAAAGACAAATTTGACCTCGCACAATTTTGCCGAGAGACTAGATGATTACTGATATGCAAACCAGAATCACTAGATGCTCCATGCCCCTCAGTGAAAATATGACCACATTTGTGAAACCATGACCACAAAGCTATCATCAAATTGACTTAATTTCAATTCTGGGAGCTGCTATCCTTGAAGGCTTCCATAAAAATACCCGTGTGCGGCTATCAGCTAAATTATTGCCAATCACGACACGTGTCACTCGTCAAGGGTGGTTAGAGTCGAGTATTTCGCCGACGCGTTTTCCAACGAAAACAGGTCATTTATCTTTAAAATTAGGCCACTGCGTTACGGTGGTGCTAATTGTCCACATGAAGATATTATTCTTTTTAACTGTAAAGGCCTTCAAATTTTCATTTTTAAACCATGGGGCAAGTGAAAAATCTTGAAACTCTAATTTGGATAATGACAACGCTTTTTTTTGGCGCAACATGTATCGAAGAAAAAAGGACTTCAGTTGAGTGCAAGCTTATGAGTCGCGCACGCAAAAACCCAACGACTTATAAAACATCCTGAGATCTGTCACCTAACATGTGAAGCTGGATACGATCCACAGGTTTGGTGAAGTAACTGCTTAGAAGTGTTGGTTGACCTAACAGAAGGAGGCCGGAGTGCCACTCGACAAACGTTTCCTAAAATTTTTTCGGTGAATCATCATCCAGTTGTTGGCCAATTTATCGCTAAATGTCTTTACGTAATAGACGAGCCACGACGTTGAACGGTGCTACTAACCCATTAGGGTCAAATACCGAAAGTACAAAACTCAAAAATTGTCTCGTTGATTTCGTGGTTCCATGCTAATGTTATTTTTTAACCTGACTGACAAACTAAGTCAACACAAAACCTTCTAATGTTAACTGGTTGCTCGAGAGGTTTCCGAACGAGTCTAGGCAATCCTCACTAATGTTTCGGTAACCACTGGTGCTGCTTTAGTTGTTATCAATTGATGTTTTTTGAAAACACAAAAGATGCGCATGTCGGCGAGTCACGGGCGCCGAATTTAATACAAGTGTACTGATGGACTACATCATCCTCCAGCCACAAAAAAAAACTAAGCGAAGACTGATCTTGGTCGAGGACTCCTACCTGGAGAAATATACCCTATAGATCCGCGGAGATGGCATACTTGTACTGTCGGAAACGCAATAGTATGAATATCAGGTTTTTGTGTAGGTCTGGACCCACTAAAAGGGATTGATTTGAGAATGTGCCACAAAACTTAGCAGCCCCGTTGAAGACTTGGCGCACCGTACCCGGCTCATTCGGATTAATCACTGGGTGGTGCGATCGGTAGGTGAACACGGATCATGCGGCTCGACGGTAACGATATAACCATTCTTTATGTCCTCCCGTACATCTTTTGATACGAGCAGTCTTGTTTTTTTATATTCAATCTCAAAACTACCCGGGCTGACAAAATATGTTTATCATATAACTCCATACTATGAAAAAAAAGCTTATCATACGATCACATTCAATTCCATAGAATAAAAAAATCGTATAAAAATCAAATGATAACTTTTTTTTGATTACAATGGAATTGTATGATAGGCATTTTTTCCATTAAATGGAATTGTATGATAGGTGTTTTTGCCTTAAAACAAAAAGTTGTCTTTTGTTTCTAGTTTAATTTTCTGAAACAGTTTGGGTTCTGTTTGCAACCGAACCCAAGTGACAAAGACCTTGGTTACTCAAAGCACCAAAAGGTGGACGATCTTGCTTTTACAATGCATAGAAAACGACTTGAATTGTCTTCAGCTCTCTTTCAACAAACTTTTAACTTTTAGCAAAATTTTTCAATGAAGAAAAACTACAGTGCAATAACTTTCGTGTTATTATCGCGCGATAATTTTTATGATTTTAAGCGCGTAAATGGCGATTTAATGCGGGTAAGAAAACATTCCAAAATAGTTTGAGGCATGTTAGTTCGTACGCTACGTTAAAATTTGGTAATTGAAAAATTCATCCAATTTTAAAATTCGATAATAGTCTGTAGACGTTGAGGCACAGTCGGAAATTTCATGTATGAGTTTCTTCTTTGAATAGCCTTAGGAGGTGGTTTTGAAACAAAATCTACCGAAGAGTGTGTTTTTTGTGTTAACTTCATCAACCTATTCCATAAAGGCAGTTGCAAGATTTAGGGTTTCGCCCTGATACGAGCAGTCTTGGCCTTGTTGTTCCGACTTTCGAAGAAAACGGAATAGTTATGCTCGGTGTGGTTTTTTTATTCAGTCAATTTTTGCCGACCACAATAATAATTTTCAACCAAAATTTTTATACCCCATTGAAGATATCGACTTTTTCAGTTCAAATGTAAAAAGATATTTCACCTCGGATTATTTTTTGTAATGTTCTTGGGATTTGAAAATTGCCAAGTTTGTCATGTTCTGGACTAAATTATGCGAGCTTCGAAGAGTTTATTGATAATGCAGAGATTGTAACACAATTATTTTTGCGTGGCAAATTGTCCCGCACAAAATCGCTCCAAATTGACTCGGCTTGCTCATAATAATTTTCACACTTGATCTTTGATATTGTTCAAAATTTATAGTTTTTCATTATTTTCTTTTGCCCAAAAACTGTTTGATATGAATTAAGGGACAGTCCGAACATTCAGGGCTTTGCCCTGATATACGAATACGAGCAGTCTTGTTAATTTTAAAATGCTTTACTGGAAAAAAATGAAGAAAAAACCTTCAAAACTTAAAGGTCATAATCCGAGGAGCAATAAAAACTGGAGAAACTAATTTGAACTCACTTTTTGCAACTGTTTGGGTCCTTTTTTGTCCTTTTTAGCTTCGCCCATGTTCAGAAGTCTCATCTCCTCAGCCAGTTGTTTTTCCGATTGTTTCTCTTGCTCACTGGATAAAAAAGTGCACATGATTCAGCAAATTGCAATTTATGATTGTAAAATTAAAATTCTAGATTAAATATGGCTCTTAGAATTTAGAAATTTGATTGGAGTGCTGAGCAAAAAGGTATAATCTGCAACCTGATTGGAACTTAACAACTTAACATTTACTCAGCTAATATCTTATCTCTTTCTTAATATTTATAGATTATGAAGTTATACAGATTATGTTTAACGGAAAAAAAATTGACATATATTTTTTGAAAATCTTAACTTTTGAATTTCAATTAAACAAATTGATGTCTTTGAAGCCTTTTGAATTTCTAGAAAAATTCAGGATTTGATTTTTTTTTGATAAATTTAATCCAAATCGAGAGAATTGGAATTTTGGTGAGTTGAGAACACTTTAGTTTTGTGACTGGGGAATCCGGAGCACACCAAATTTGGTCTTGTTTTTTGACCGATACCATGTTCCTCACTACCAAATTTCTACAGAGTACCCGGGATGACATCCACAGACCGAAAATGCCACCCGCACCCAGCGCCCATGGATCATAATCGATTATGGTCAGTTTCGATAAAATTACAAAATAATCGATTTTTATGTCAATAAATTTCATTATATTTGGAGAATTCTTGGTTAATTAAAATGTTCAACTTAAAAAAGTAAGCCTCCTTGAAAATTGTTGCTTAAATTTGGAAGTTTTCTACTTTCTATATATTGGTTGCGTATGACGAATATATTCAAGTCGTTTCAATGAATTGTGTATGCAAAGTCGTTAATCGTTTGGTGACTCTAGCTATGGGTAAACAGGGTTTTTGTCACTTGTGTTCGGGTGCCATTTTGAGAAGAAAATGAATGTAATTTAGTCATGGAAAATACTAGTCATACAATTTCTATCTATGAAAAAACAATACTCAGGGACTTTTATTGGAATTATCTGTACTCATGGAATTTCATGAAAAAGGTGTGATTAGCTTTTTCCAGGCGAATCTGTACTCCAAAAAAGAAACAGGATCAAAAATATAGTAAAAGATCACCATACCCAATTTTTGGACTGAGGTTCTCCATTTCCATGTATGTATCGTTCTGAAACAAACAAAACAGGTAAATATACTGAAAAAAAACCAAGTTTAGTTTGTGTGTCATTAAGCATGAAAAACGGTCAACTTCTTATAGAAAAGAATCTCGACGCGAACATTAGGAGGCCAAAATGTGCATACTGTGCATTGCAAGCGGATTCCGCAACAGACCAAAATCAGATTTGTCGCGGAATCCGCAACTTTGCTACTTTTGTTTGATCTTCTTCGCTGTTTTGGATTCCACAAACAAATACCTAAAACACTGTACTGCTCAAAATCGCTCCAAAAATAGGCGATTTTGCTGAATCCGCAACGGTAATTGCGGAATCCAGAACAGTTTGTGGAATCCACAAACAAACCATAAGACATATGTATAGTTGAATTGAGCTGTTGCGGATTCCGCAACTGTAAGCGGAATCCGCAACGTGTATGTGGAATCCGCAAATTGTTGGTGGAATCCGCATTTTGTTTGCGGATTCCGTTTAGATATATGTATATGTGTAGTATAGCGTTTAAAATTATATCTTTAACTCATGGTCACAAGAAAAATCAATCTCAATCACTACATTGATCAACTACGAGTTTGAATACCAAACGTTTGGTCTCAATTCCTGTGAACCCAACTTCGATCTCAAATCCTGTCGACTTCAATCTCAACTTCGACCCCAAATACTGACCTACTGAACTTCGATTCCAAATGTCGACGTAATCATCCCAAATACTGAACTAATTCGAGCTGAACTTCGAATCCAAATACTGATGCAATCCCAAATACTGACCTAATTCGGCGATTTCCAAACACTCTTAAGCCAATTACTACAAATATTGAATTTATTGGGCGCTGAGCTTCCAAAATTAGTACATGGGATTGACAAAAAATGGTGATATGCTGTGTGTTGTGTTTCCATACACTCTCAACCCAATGACTCCAAATATTGAACTTATTCGGTATTGTGTTTTCAAAATATTAAAAGGTGACATCCAACGATTTAGTTAACAAATGTTTTGGGATTTGTTCGTGGATTCCGCTGACAACGATTAAGTCCTTGCCTTTAAACTCCGCATTGCTATAGATAAGAATTCCAGCTCTAGCTTTTAATTGTCTGTATGCAAGATAAGTAATAAGCAAAATTCTGAATCCACTTACAGTTTGCAGAATCCGCATACATTTGCGGATTCCGCCTACATTTTGCGGATTCCACTTACATTTTGCGGAATCCACGTACAGTTGGGGAATCCAGAACAGCTAGCTATATTTGCTTGTTGCGGAATTTGCAACAAAACAATTGTGCCGACAAAATTTACGTTACAAAATTTTTTTTGTGGAATCCAATTACATTTTGGAGCGTTTTTAAACACTTGTCTCTTGGAATCCAGGAACTTACAGACACAAAATTTTGAGCCTATTCAGTGCACAGTTTGGCCTCGTAATGAAACTGCAGCTCGTAAATATACAGTAAGGTTATCAGCGTGGCATATCAAACAATTGTTTTGACCATTGTAAACTTAACTAACCCTTCAAAACTATGCTAAAAACCTCTAAAATTTATGCGAACGCACTGAACACAACTGGCTCCAAGTTTGCACGCTTTTGTTTATTGAAACTTTTTTTACCTAGCCTTAGCAGATGATGTATTCGATTTATTAACTCAGGCAACTAATGAAAGCAAAAGCTTCCTTGACTTGAACAAAATTATTAGCTCAATTCATTGACAAATGTAAGAAGAACTCTTTCACAATTCAATTACAATTATACAAATGACATCAAACCAGGCAGTGTACAATTCAAGTGTAGTTTAGAATATCAATAATTCGAAATGCATGTACGGAAGTTGAGCCTAAAATCTTTCCAACATATTTTACTATAAAACACTTGGCCTGGGTTCTTCTTAAGTTGATCCAAAATTTTTTTCTAATCTACGTAAGATGTTCTTACAATTGTAGAATCAATATCGTTTGCGTACTTGAATATGATGTTTTTGCGTGGCAGAATGCTTTTCCTTTTACCAGTTTTTTCAAGGATTCACGAATAGAGCGTTTAATGCAGAATAACTTCTAACTAGAGAGATGACAAAACAATTTCTGGTTTCGCTAAGATTAGACCTTTTTCCAGTTTGAAAGCGAACTTTGTTGACTTATTTTTTGAGTAAACAATGTTGATATTTTATAATCAAGAAGAAACCTTATTCGTAATATGCTGCGATTTGGTTTAACCCCACCAAAAATCAAATTTGTTTTTAAGAAAGCAGGCTTTGACGGCCCAACTTCGTTTTTCAATTGATATGATAACGTATTAATTTATGTTAAAAGAGTCGTCGCCGAAAATTGCAGATAACTTGAGACCAAGACATCTATAAGCATGGTTTTGAAATTGTTTGGTATACAGCCTCTGACTGTATTTGGGGCTTTAATACCCTAAGTCCTTTTGAAGAGTGGCTGTATGACTAATCTTGATATGTCAGATTCTCATCATTAAGTACACATCATTTTCTCTTTTCGTTCTTTATTCTCTTTCCATTCTTCATTAGCTGTCCATCAGCCTGGAGCTCATTTTTTGGAGTCTTTGTTACTCAAATAAAGTTTATTGTAATAAAAAATCCCCAAAGTATAAATTCAAATTTGTCTGATTTAATTTTCAGGTTGTGAAAACAAGTGAAAATAATCAATTTACACAAATTTTGTAAATTGCCATGAATATCAAGTTTTTTAAGGCATAGCTAAAAAAAAAGTTTTCGAGTTAAAAAATTGATCATATGCGTGTTGTCTGATGTGGGAATAGGAGGTGGTTTACATCTCGCTAACGTATGAAATTGAAAAAAAAGTAACTAAAAAGCATTGCGGCACACCTCTACTTATTACAACTCAATCAGTTTCAGCATCTGTCTTTACAATTTTTTTAATTGTTTTTTAAAAAAATAGCGATTTATATGAATAAGTGAAGACCTCTCGAAAAAAAATATTTTTTTAGTTTTTAGTTTAAAGTTGATAATTTTTTGAATCCAAGCCTAGTAGTGTGGCTGTTACACATTCATCTTTATCATTTTTAGCCAACATTTTTTTCAGTCAAAGATTATAGAAGATTCATGGTTGAAAACTCTTCCCAAACGCGAACTGAGCTGGAGTAGGAAATTTTTTACGATTAGGATATTCTACTATTTAAAACTCTTTTAAATTCCAAACATTTCTGACATATCCGGAGTAAGTGAAATTCAATATATTGAAGCGACATCTTTGAAGCCTAAGCTGGAATAGAAAAGGGACCCAAAGGTTTCATTTTTTCAAAGCAAGATGAAAATTTTCACATTCACATGATAAACTAAATTTTAAAAAATAAGGATTTTGTAATGTTACCGGGAATGGCACTGTGTTGTACGAACTCAGCAGGAAAAAGTTCGCAGGTTCATCGAGTTTTCAATTGAGCAGATTCGCAATTTTTTGGAACTTGTTTAAGATATCATAAATACAATTCCTTAGACGGTCTATTTTGGTTGATGTTTTTTTATACATATTTCGTTGATAAGGTTTCACTTAGACGATCGAAAAAGCTTAGGAAACCAACTCTTTAAAAACATTTTTTCGAAGATATTGGCATAGTTTTTTTGAAACTGTTTTCATTTCTTGAAACTTGGTCAAGCTCAAAGACTTGAATTAAAAATCGTTTTCTAGGTATTTTTTCGACCCTCATTCAGTTGCCAGAAAAAACAAAGGTTTTAATAAAGATAAAATGTTGTTCAATAGAAGCATGCATCTTGATAATAGAGCAAAGACAATGTTCGAAATGCAAAAACATATGAATGACCAGCTTTTTTTTCTCTTCAGAAATGGCCAGTCTTGTTTTACATCTCCTTATTACATCTCCTATATTTTTTTTGTAAGCAGTTATGCGTTTTATCAAAAACAAATTTTATATTGTATTTCTGTTTTCCATTTTACTGTCTTCAAAATATTTAATAGTTGAGAAAAATCACTTGTAATGCACAACCGAAGACATGCAAAGATAAAGTTGGTAAAATACTATCAGATAAATAGAACTCGAATAGACTCACGTTTTTGTCGCAGCAGCGTGTAGTAAGCATCTGAGTCAGCACCTTAAATCTGTAATCGCTTGATTTTGCTTATAAAAACTAGTTCTGTGTAAATAAATTAATTTAGGGTCGCCAATATATATATTTTTGATTTAGAAAATGATGCCAGGTCAAATGATATGGCAAAAAATTTGAACAAAAGAGCTTTACATTTGATAATGCGGAAAGTATGATGAATTAAACAGGCGACACTCTTTGATCAAATTGTGGTTTAGTTCTATCCATAAAAAATCAAGTTTAGATTTCATTGGGATAGATCATCTCTCATTCTCACGTTGAAAGATTTCGGCGGCAACAAAAAAGAATACCTAAACTGTTTGATCCCTTTCTATTTGTTTGTAATACCTTAAAGCGGTTTTTGTCAGGATGATAAAGATTTGGTGTGTCCTTATCATTTAGCCAAGTTTCGGTTAAACCGTGAGAACAATTTTTTCCAAAAACTTGACCAGGTGTTTTAAATTATTGTTGTTTGTTGGCAAGCTTTCTGCAAATTAAATGAAGTTATTTTAAATTTTTAACCAGGACACTAAACTTTTCAAAAATTTTTCAATATGTTTTTCGGCCGAGATTACGTTTAGATCACCTGATAGAATCAATCATCTGAAAAACAAAAGAATTTTCAGCCTTCCAAAAAATTTCATTTCCCATTTAAGGATAATCTTATGCTTAAACTTTTCTTATTTTCGATATCATTGCAGAAACGAGATCAATAAAATGAGAGTAATTGAAGTAATTAAAAACTCGATAAGTGACAGTATAGAAATTATACGTGTTTTAAACATAGCACCTACATTAAAACAAAAATGAAAACTGCGGATTACATCACGTAACAATCTATAGAAAAATTTATCAGTAGTCATTTTGGTTGATCCAATTATATAGATGATGACTATAGTATGAGGGATGCTGGTTTTTTCAAGTGTGAGGATTTTAATGGGAATTGTGAAAGGTAATCACCTGCTAACTTTTTTATGCATCTGTGAGCCCATTCGATGTTCTCAAAAGAACCGACAGGAAACTATTTGCATTGTAGGCGCAACAGTTACAAAACTGATATGTAGGTTGTCCTGGTACAGTTGGTTGTAGTGTTTGATTTCTGGAAAAGTCGGGGCATTGCTTAAAATAGTTTTTAGCTGCAACACGACAAACTTCCCGTCGTTATTGCAATAATTACTTTTGAAGAGTTGTTTCTGCTCATCGCCCATTTTCCTTTTAAATTCAATTTCTTCGTTTTTTCAAACTGCTATCGTTTCAAGTATGAGGAAAACATCACTTTTGAAAAGAACGTAACGATTGTTAAGCAAAAGAACGTAACTCGTCGAAAATTTTGTCTGATGTTTCCTGCATTTTATGATACTATTCGTACAACACAAATCTGCACAACAACAATTTTCTGCTTTCGTATGCTATATTTTTTTTCAAATTTTTATTCCTGGTAGAACCACGATACGCATGAGTTGCACTTAATCAATGGGAATGCTGGCATCCAAAACTAAGTTAAGTACAAATTCGCTGCCCAAAACCAAATTGCTTTGCCCTTCTATAATTTTAAATGCAGGAAACTCTCTCCCCCTATCAATCTACAAACTTGGGATGAAAAGTGCCTTTGGTGGAAAAAAATATTAATGAAAAATACTCAAGCGGAAAATTTCAGACTTGTGTTCTGCAGGGTGGTAACAAGATAGACGCTTGTGTATGAAAAGCAAAAGCACCTTTGGCGGAAACCTCATCTTCCTCTATCTCTGCACACCGCATCTATCTTATTACTCAGCTTGCTGAACTCCTCCTGGATGAAGGCGTCCTCCTCTATGACTTTCTGATGCAAGTCGACGTGGCGTTTTTGTTTAAAGGCCGTTTTTTGTTCATTGCTTTCCCAACTTTATGGGAAAACATTTTGAGTAAATAGACGAGTATGAAGACTGAGACTGATATGCGAAAGTCGATGGCTGTTTTATTGAGCAGCTCATGAGAATGATGTACTGAATAGAAAAAAGACAGTCGTCTTCACCCATCAAAGCTAGTGATTAATATGCTTGCTTTGAGTTGAAAGAATTTACTGATTTATGCTCCTAGCTCATGTGTCTTTAGCTTATATGTGTCTCATAAGTTTATCACAGCAATTAGGTAAAGTTCCTGACACAAAAGGATTCCTTTAGTTGACAGACAAGTTAATTTTAGATTACCAAGTGGTGTACATCTGGTTGCTCCTCCTGCATGTCAGAATAGACGGCCAGGTCCTCGGACACTTTGCTCACTGTTTGTTTCATCATGACCAGCCACAAGCCCAACATACTGTCAAATCGCACGTGCAGTCCACTCATGCGACAGTTCACCGACAACTCCCAAACCACCGGTGATCCCCCAGTCGCCCCCGCGCCAACTGCCGCTGCCACGCCACCGGGAGCTGCGTTAGTGCGCGACACAGTCTCTATGGAACCCTCTGGAACCCAGAACATGTTCATGATGTAGACTGGCTGTGTCTGGGGCTGAGGGGAAAAGAAGCCGAAAGATTTCACTTTCTGAGGCTGAATGAAGGACTCTTCGATTTTGTCGAGCAGCCAATTTTCCTCCAGGCTGTCGAAGTTGTCTCGGAACCCGAGAGTGAAGTCGTGGAAGGATCCGAACGAGACAAAAGCAGAGGCGGTGAGTGACGAAACCGAGACGTGTTTTACAGTGAGCATCAGCACCTGCTCCTCGTCCACTTCGAACGCCATCTGCAATAGGGCAAAAGTCTATTCAAAACACTCAAAATCAGAAGGAAGAGAAAAAGTTGTCGGATTTAAAGAGGAATATGAAAGAAAAATCCCAATTGTGGTGCATTTGTTGGTTATCAATATTATTTATTGTTTCGTAGTGTATGTTATTTGGGGTCCAAAATATAGAAAAGCAAACTTTGAAAGTGACTAAGAAGTTATGAAGAAGGTGTTCTTGTTGAATGGACAATATACTACTTAATAGAGACACTCTTACATAGTTGGCCGTGTCAAGAGGCAGACAGAGTGCCATGTCTTCTATTTCGAACAAGAAGTAGATCCTCTTTGTGGGGTTGGCAGGGGGCACGGTGGACACTGCGGGGGGCATCTGGGGGTGAGATGAAGTGGGGAGGGACCCTCGGCCACCGTGGGAGCACGTGGTCTCCTTCACAGTTGGGAAAGGGCCAATTGAGTCGAGGAGAGTTCGATTGAATTAGTTATTCATAGGAAAATTAAATGGAACAGCTTGCAGTTTTAGGAATATGTTTCCGAGCAACCTTTATCGAGGCTAGTTAACAGTAATTCAGCTGTCCGTCAAAGATCCGGTTTGAAATTTGAAACAAAATTGATTAAAAAAAACATGTTAGCTAAAATAGAACCCCTCAGACAAGACTCAATTGCCATACATGTCCATCCTTGGCATGGGTCTGTATTTTCGGGTCCGTTTGGGCTGAGCTGTCGCGTTTAGTAGTGGAAGATTTTGGAAAAGAGGAGAAAACGCTACTGGAAACTCCAGCAGTGCCAGCAGAGTCTAAAAGATCTCTCGCTGAAGATTTATAAGTACTAGTTAAGTATTAGGGATAATTAAGCAGCTAAAAATGGAGAAAGATGGATCAGAAAAAAGCAACACTTAAAATGTGTATTATAGTTTATCTACATACGGAGAGACATGCTCAAAAAAGAAAAAAGAAGAAAGTCTCTTGACCCAGTGATCGGAACATTCTGCAGCCCAAAGTTTCACCGATTTACAAAAAATGCTTTGTCAATTTCAAAGAATGGAAAAAATGTTTATCATAAAAATCCAGACAACCAAAAAGAAAGAAAAAGCATGCCTCTCTTTTGCTATCCATTCAATTCAAATGGAATTGCATGATAAAAGTTTTTCATTGACGAAAAATGCAAAAAAAAAATCATTTTTTTTTTGAGTTTCCATTTGTGCAAAACAAAGAAATTAAATTAGGCCAAAATCTAAATCCTGAATCCAGCTCAACGTGTCAGTCTCTCCTTAAGTAATGTTAATGACGTTTAATTTACTCGTAAGCAATTCGAGATGATACGAAATTTTGAATTAAGGGAGCCAGAAGCATATCAAAAAAAAGCAGGCACAAGAAATCAGTTTTTAACTTTTTCTTCCTGATTTACTTTTCTATTAAGGAAAAAAATTAAGACCATTTATCCACGGAAAAAGGACCAACACAAGAGCTGTACAGCTCATCACGGCGAACCGCTGTTGTGCCCCTGTTTAAGAACTACATGCAATTTTTTTGGTTATTTTTCTGGGCTGGGTAATGTTGCTTCACCCTTAAGCAACGAGCAAAGAAGACTGCATTTGATTTTCCTCTTAGGCTGAAAAGTTGTCAGAGTAGCAGTAATTGCACTGAAAGCCCATCTGCATAAAGAAATTTATAATTTCTCCCTGTAAACAGAATATTGTTCCGACTTTTGTACAAAAGATTGAATATTTGCGCTTGGGGTTGTTTTTTTTTTCGATTTTTTGAACCAAGTTTCAATTTTTGAACTTTTCCATATCATTCGAAAAGTATTGCTGTCGTGAGCTCAAGTTGTAAAAGATATTTTACCTGGGATCTTTTTTCCTAAAAATCAATAAAAAAATTAAAACAATTTTCCTTCAAACTATATTTTTTTTGAAGTTTCATTAATTTTTTGAGCGATCATTTACACCATAGATCTTAGAGAGCGGTAAAAAAATCCAGGGTATCGCCTTGATACGAGTCCTCTTGATGACTGTTATATTAGCTCATCAACTGCCAAATATTGACTTCAAATGCCTTTTCACATATCGAAATCAAGTGCTTAAATCCTTAACTGAAAAACTTAATTATAATAAGAACTTGGCGGTAAATCACTAACTCTACAACAGTACCAAAACGCGCGGATCAGATTAATAAGCCAAAACTGAGCAAGACTGCTTGTATAAGGGCGAAACCTTGGTTGTTCCGACTGCCTTATAAGTTCTATGAAGTAGCGTTCGCTTTGTAACAACGGATGAGTTTTTCAAAAAAAAATGAAAAACTGTTTTTCTAAAGATTAAGATCTTTTTTAAACCATAAAAAGTATCAAGTGATTGATTTTGCTCATATTAACAATAAATATAGCAAATAATCCTGCTTCAACCAATTTGGAACAATTTCTAAGAATAATTAAATCTCCGCTGGCGCGATAATAGCTCGTTAAAAACGCCAAGTTGACAAAACTGGCCATAAAACCCCCATATTTGTAGAAAAAAAAGATCCAGGTAAAACTTCTTCTTAACTTTGAGCTTGAGACAGCAAAAATGTTCAGTTGATTTAAAATCATTTTATTAAAAATGGCTAGTTAAAAAGTCGAGTTTTTTCTGAAGAAAAAACATCCAAGCACAAAGTATTCCGTCGCTTTCTTTCGGAAGTCGGAGCAATAATTATTCTTGCATCGTGTGGGTTTGTCCAATCCATGAATTGTGGATTTACATTTTAATGAAACGTGTTTCTGTCACTAACAAAAATTTTGACGTTCAAACTGGATTTTTTTTCTCTTCATTAAAAACATCTGAATATTTGAATATTGCTTGAGAAACGCCAAAACAAAAAAATTGGTCAAAATTTCCTTCAATTTTTTCTTCATTTTCAAAATTCAAAAAAAAAAAATGTAATTATGCAAGAACTCTACAACAGTACCAAAACGCGCGGATCAGATTAATAAGCCAAAACTGAGCAAGACTGCTTGTATAAGGGCGAAACCTTGGTTGTTCCGACTGCCTTATAAGTTCTATGAAGTAGCGTTCGCTTTGTAACAACGGATGAGTTTTTCAAAAAAAAATGAAAAACTGTTTTTCTAAAGATTAAGATCTTTTTTAAACCATAAAAAGTATCAAGTGATTGATTTTGCTCATATTAACAATAAATATAGCAAATAATCCTGCTTCAACCAATTTGGAACAATTTCTAAGAATAATTAAATCTCCGCTGGCGCGATAATAGCTCGTTAAAAACGCCAAGTTGACAAAACTGGCCATAAAACCCCCATATTTGTAGAAAAAAAAGATCCAGGTAAAACTTCTTCTTAACTTTGAGCTTGAGACAGCAAAAATGTTCAGTTGATTTAAAATCATTTTATTAAAAATGGCTAGTTAAAAAGTCGAGTTTTTTCTGAAGAAAAAACATCCAAGCACAAAGTATTCCGTCGCTTTCTTTCGGAAGTCGGAGCAATAATTATTCTTGCATCGTGTGGGTTTGTCCAATCCATGAATTGTGGATTTACATTTTAATGAAACGTGTTTCTGTCACTAACAAAAATTTTGACGTTCAAACTGGATTTTTTTTCTCTTCATTAAAAACATCTGAATATTTGAATATTGCTTGAGAAACGCCAAAACAAAAAAATTGGTCAAAATTTCCTTCAATTTTTTCTTCATTTTCAAAATTCAAAAAAAAAAATGTAATTATGCAAGAATGATGTTGATGATTGGCACTAATTTTGAAGAAACAACTTAATTTGAGACAAAGGGATAACTTTTCTTACTTATTTGCAA